TGACCTAGTGACACACAATAATTCTAAAGTGTTTTCAAATCCATTTCCAAATTACAGATTAAAGGTACGAAATAATTCCTAGTAACAAAGGACAATAACTCTGTAAACGGCAAGATTTCGGTAAATGGTTTTAACACTTGTAAAAGAGAAATTGATGTGAACAAAATGAAACATGTACACAATACTACCTCAGTGTGTTCAGTCAACCAATCAAGCATGGAAACAAACAATCAATATACATACACCATGGCTATCTGTCAATCAAATGATGGTAATCTGAAAATTGATGGACTGCTGGAATCTGATGATCAAATGACCATAGCAGTTTATATATCAATATTCATGACTTATATTAGTTGTAAGGTTTTTTTCTGATCTGTGTATGGTTTAATATTAGCACCTAATGACACCTGTTGTGATTAAAATGGTTTTTAAGTTGATTTAGAATGTCTCATTTGTTTGAGAAGAAATATAGTTAAAATATGTACAGTCAAACCTGTCTATAAAGACCACAAACAGAAAAGTTTTTAAATTTTACCAACCAGTTTAAATATGATTTATACACTGTAAATATCATTTTTTTAAGGGTTAAACTTTTCATAGTTTTAAAGAAATTTCAGGAAAAAATAAAATTTTATTTTATTCAAATGAGCAAAATTTTTTCTAAATAATACATCACTCATGATTTTTTTTCCATCCTCCAAAATATCTGAAAATAGAAACCCTCAAAAAACAATGACTTTTACAGTATCTTAATTAAATATTATGTACAGCAGTAACTAGAAGTGTAACCATTAACATCATATCTTTGATCCACTGACCAAAAGCAGATATAAACACACAACAGCGAGATCTTTTATTCTTTTGAATAAACGGAAATACAAAATACAATTTATACCGTAATTTAATTAAAAAAAATAACATTATCTGAATCTTGGTAATGATATGGATGTTTACCCCAACATACAGGAAAACAACAAGACATGGAATCAAAATTTCAACAAAGTTATCATAGTTTGATACTGTACTTTCGAATCATACAATACTTACTAGTGTAGACTAGAATACAACATGGAATATGTAAAGTCAGCTTATGAATAACAAAGATGAAGAAATCTTAGCAGCAACAAGGTATTTAAGATCCAATTTCCTGGAGACAAGTCTGGAACAATAAATTCTTGAAATAATAATAGGTTTTTCCTCAGAAATCTGTTTTATGAGAAGAGATTTGTAGATATAAAAAAAATCAAGTTGGTTTGAAATGTGGTCATGGTTGATGATTTTGGCATATTTAAATTGAATAAGAATCATATCAATTGTAGCATGCCATAGATAGATACTGAACTAGATTGAACCTCTTCATGATTCTGTTTAAACGGAGCAAGAAAAATAAATACCATGATAAAACCGATACCTAGCTTTATGTTACACACTGTATACAATGTAACAAATTACCAGGGTAGGTTTACAAAAGCAACACAACCATTGGTTACAAACAATTTATTCTTAAAAAAATACAGAAAACATTCCACATTTTGAAATTGCAATTTGATACCAAGCAACATCTATATTTTTAACATCAAACTTATTTCTTTTCCAAAGTTTTGCACTTACTTCTCAAAACTGTATGTTTATTTTTAATTTATCCCAAAAAGCAAAACCATTTCCTTTGACCTGAGTTCGCACTACTTTATCAATATATGTGTCCAGTAATGTTATCTTAACTTTTGATCATTATTTCTTTTATATAAATCAATGTTTGGATAAATCCTGTTTTCTAATGATGAACTGATTTTTTTTTCTTAAAAATCCAGCTGGTTTCCATAACAAATATAGTAATGTAATGAACTGTCACCATGGTAACACATGTCACTTAGATAATTTTAACCCAATATTCTCTCATCCATTTCCTCTGATGAAATCTCTTTCAATTGTTACAAAACCAATAGGGATGTGACAAGCATTTATGTTTACTACATTAAATCGATCTCTTGGTGAAGTCAAAATTTTTGCAGTTTAATTTTATCGAAATCAAAATGTACGAGGACTAGAATTCAGAGCAACAATTTGATGTATATAGTTATATACAAGCATTCACAGATATTTCCGTCTTAACATAAAAAGTCATGATAATTCGTGATTTATGTATAATGATTTGATACATAAGTAAGGAGTCTTTTTATATGTTACATTACTATACTGTTTTGGTCCTTAAACAAAATGATGAACAGATTTTTTGATAAATACAGTGATATCTAACATTTTACAACAAATTTTCAAATCTACTGCACATTCACATTTCAAACAGTGAAACATTTCTGACTTCTATGACACACAACACTCCATGGCAGCATGAGATGGTGTGGTGTGAAACTTTCAGGTTAGTACATCTCTCAGCACAATTTACCCTGTAAATACATCAACATTAAAAGTAAAATAAAGAATGTGTCACATCTATATCTCTATTAATTTTTTTTTTAAAACTATATAAAATCATCATTCCATATGTTTTCTGACAAAAAATTATTGAGCATGATTTTCCACGGGGGAAAAAAGGCAGGAAAAAAAATTATGCAGCCTTTAGTTATATTGGTCTTAAATCGTGGTTTGGTCCCTGATTGTTTTGCATCAGATGAATCAATCATATCATTTTCTTTTTCTTGGTGTTTTTTTCTGGTCCCAGAGTACAACAACTTTGCTATGACATCGACTTATATTTACAAGATTTATAATCATATAAACAAAAGAATGTTACTCTATATTAAACTGGACACACACAAATAGTGTATGGATTTCATAAGCTGCTTGTTGGTGTGGTGTAGCATATCTTTGAGTGTACAGATTTCTAGGGGAATTGTATATTGTTCAAAACACCCACTATCACAGATGGTGATTCAAAGTTGATATCTTAACAACCAGACAAAATCAAATACACAAACCAGTAGTGGTCTTTTTGTCATACTAGATCTAATTTCAAGTTGGTTATATTTTTTTTTCTAGGAACCATACAGGTTTTAGATCAAAGTCTTTCTCACTGGGATGTGTCTTCTCATAACCAGTAAGAAAGCTGGTCTACTTGAGGGTTGACAATATCTTTTATATATCAGAAACTGTACAACGCTTTGGACAAAATTTCCTAAATATACAGAAAAATGGAAAGGTCTTGGTAATATAAAGACTTTTTAACACCAGCTATTTTCCGACATGTATAAATCAGGTCTAGGTGGTTCATAGATACAACCCTATAAAGAATTCATTCTTATCAAGCTATACAGGGGCAACAACTCTACTCTAACTACACAATAATGGTAAATACAGTTATCTTGATTATATAGTTATGTATAAAAGCACAACCTACAAAAATCATTTAAATAATATATATTATCACAGTTTTCAATGTGACCAAAGGACAATGAAAATAAAGCTATGACACCAGTAATCAGACAGGCAGTCTGTGTTCTATTCAGTAGGACTCTGATGTAAGGTGGGATTTTTAGGGCAACAAAGTTATAATTATTTACTTATCATAGGTTTTGCATTTTGTTAAACAGCCTTATGGAATTTCTGAAAATGGGAATGTTATGTATCACATTCTTGTATTTATAGAAGTCTTCAAAATATGTTACCATGACAACTCAAAGATTCAATGAGTACAACAATCTTTATCAACATCTCTGTGATTCTGTCGTAAAGACACTCTATTGTCATTACCCTTTGGTCACTTGTTGGCATGTAGCGGATCCATAAGTTACCAGGGGACAGTCCAACAGCAAGATGGACATATTTCAATTCAAATTCAAAATTTTTTATCATAAATATGTTTTCAGCCGGTGGCCATATTAGGTCAACAAGTTTAATGAGAAGTATGACAATGATTCGGAAAACATGGTTCAAAGGTCATGTTTAAAGACAAGATATGTCTTATCTATGTAACAATGGATCTCATTGGTGATATGTAAATAATTTCAACCAATCAAAATCTCTCTTACTTTACCAACACTGAAGGCATTTTTAAAATTTGACATTACTGTGATTTTTGTTAAATCTAATAACTAATCTGATGAAAGAAATCAACGAAAAACAGTATTTTATGATAAATTACAGAATACATCAAGCAGAATTCTATTACAACAAAAAATGAAAGTACAATTAGCAAAATCAGGAGCAATGGTGTCATGCAGAAGTTAATCAATAATTAATATAAAACAGGGACAAATCAAAGTTGGGGTAGGGGAAAACTTGTATTCTGACATCAACAGGATATATATATAACAGGTTTGTGTTATTTGAATACCAACTCACATCCACATAATTTGATCCTGTAGTGAACCCAAATATCATCATTACTTTTCCTAGATGACTGATGTCCTCTTAGGTTTGGAAGTACCTGGACCACACAGAATATATGATTCACAAAAACTTACTCATTAGATATGAATTGTCATTTAAGGCTATATGGTACCTTTTGTAAACATGTAGGTATGTTTGTATTTATCTCCCCTTAAACAACAATTCATCATTTTTATTCATAATTACCCTTGGGTTCCTTACATCAGTAGAGTATAACTCAATTTACAAAGGAGGTATATATTTTCTGAAGGCAACTTATAGCCTTAACCCCTATTTTGATTTTCCTTAAAATACAGAAATTTATTGAGTATTTTTAAACAAGCATAAAAAAAATTGAGTAACAGCCAACAGATTGCAACTATTTGCAATTACAGTTCATAAGCTTACTCTAGGTTAAATAAGGACACAAATTATTACTGATACATAAAACTGAGCAACAGTCCTTCCATAAAAAAATTCCCCTACAACAGCCTTCCCTAATTCAAAAGGATTCAAACAATATTTCTGATAATTAAGGAAGTACTGATAATTCGAGAGAAAATTTACTCTGTCCCCTTAATGATCAAAATGATAAGGAATTGAAAAATTCAAGGAAATATATTTATAGAATTTCACTCTTACTGTACCTTATGTTTCAGATAGTTACACATACACTAACCCAAAAGACACTTTAGAAAAGATCGCAGAGCTGGGGGATTTGGACATCATACAAAAGTTTAGGGAAGTAGTTGATGTCACCTAACCGCAGTGATATAAGAAAAAGTCAATGTTACAACTCCTTAGGATTTGACCTTATTTGACAACCTCCTATTTTTCACATCCTGATGAAAAGTCTCTGTCTGTCTAGTGACACATCAACCATTAAAGTTAGAAAATAAAAACAAATTATGGAAGAATCCAATGTGTAGATGCTAGAGTACTTGATCCTTTACGCCTGAGGTCCTTTCTCCTTCAGCTGTCGTAAAGCATTATTAATCCTCACAGTCAAGCGGTTCTCGAAGTCATAATCCTTGTAGGTGTCCTACACATCATAAATGAACAGATTCATGTTAAAAAGATGAACTTACCAGACAATCTAAAAAATCACAGTAAGATTGAAATGGAGCTGTGTTAAGCTCAAAATTTCAACTTCAAGACACACCCCTGTACGATATAGGTGATTTATCAGTGACTGGACACTAAGCTTGATAAAAACTAAACGGGGTGTTGCTTCTTGTGCTCTGGAAAGATGTCCAATGTTGGAATTAGTTACTTCAAATATAATGTTTGATACTTTGCAAGTTTTCACACCTAAAATTTCATCCACAGATAACAAATCTAAATACATGTATGTATTTTAAACCTACATCTATGTTAACAATATCCAGTCCAATATTAGTGATTAACCACCAAATAGGGTTATCTCCCCTGATTATTTTTATAAACACACAGTTATACCAAATGTTTTTCAGCAAAACTTTTTAATAATGCTGTTTACATTTTACTGTACAGATCCTATTCTATCCTCACAGACAACTTACCTTGATGTATTGAAGCATGGATTTAGCTTTTCCCACCGTCTGTAAAATGTAACAATATTTATAATTATTTTGATTGGCTACCAAACAAAACACAGATTCCTATTTAATCAATTATTCATTAAAAGTAAAGATTCCTGTGGATCAGTGGTGTGTGGATTGATAAGTCATCACTCTATTTCAGCAGCTGATCTGTTTTGTTTCACCCACCTCAACAATCTTCTTCATGCATTCCAGTTTCCTCTAAAACAGATGTCTTCACTACTCTTAAGGCCAATAGCATTATTATAGAGTAATATGTCAAGTAATTTCTATCATTCAAGTTCAATTTTAACTAGTGACAAATGAACACTCTTACTCCTGTTAACAGTAATTTTTCTACACTGCTACATGTACGCTGACTCTCACTTTGAGCAGGTAATTCTAAACATGCTTTTTGTTTTGACAATCTTTTATCAAAGTCCACTCATTGCTAAAAATCTGATTTTTTTTTTATTTAGGGCAAAATCCACAAACTTCATTTTTCCCTATTATCATCCATTTGATTAAGAGATACTAGTACACTTAGCAATTTTATTTGCGTTAATATTTTTTGCTCATTACATTACATTCACATATAATGTATATTGAAATCCACAGATTTACTTTTTCCATCTAAAACAATTATTTTCTTTTAACATGAAAATTGCTGCCTTATTACATGATTATATTTTGTTTACCAAAAATGGTTGTATTTCACTAATACTCTTGAAGATATTGAGATAAGAGGTACACTGCAGTTTACATCAAAAGAAGACAAAAGATTTCTACAAAGGGAGCTAACCCAGATTACCTGTGGTTTCTTTATGTAGATGGAGGCCAATTCAAAGTTGGCAAATGCTGCTATGTGGTGGTCATCCTTCATGCCTTGATGTCTGGCTAGTGCCTCCTCCAAACACTGTCAAAACAAAAACAGCAGCATCCCTTAACTACGGTTATTTTAGCACAACAAAGAGAAAGTAGTAAACAAAGTATCTGCCAAAAAACCCACTCATCATTAAGAACATACAATATCAAATGTATTACACAATACAGCATCCTCAGAAGATTATCATAGCAGCTGTAGACCAAAGAAACTCTTACCTTCTTATAAATGAGGCATTCAACAGTTTTGTCTGTTATGCTTAAGTTACTCTGGTAATTAATTTTTTCTTTTTGTTTCTCAGCTTCAGGGCATAACATATGACCTTCTCACATTGTCTGCTATTAGATTTTTAATTGATATATCAGTACATGACTGATTGTTATGTCATATCAAATACACAACAAATTTCAAGTTCTGTATCAGTAGTTTATTATGATGTACATGTACCGTATATATGTATGTAGAAATGAAGCAAAAAACAGATGCTGATATTCAAATATTTGTTCATGTATTGAAATGGTATTCAAACATTTGGTAACCATGAAAACTATGTATATGTACATTTACTCATCTTGATACCAGTAATTAATATTGTTTTATTAAACTTATGAATGACAGGAAAATATCATCAAAGGGAAGACCATTTTGTTTTTGCCAATCCTGTAAATAATCAAGTTTTATGTACAATGCATCAGATTGTAAACCTGCACCACATTCTTACATATTGATGCTATAATATGTGTTACTTCTAAATGGAAGAACATTTGTCACAGAGATGACTACAGATATGTTTGTACCATAAAACCGCAAAGCACGATTTACATTAAGCTTTCCCTTTGTAAAAATTTCCATTTCTACAGTATTTTTCTTTTCAGATACATTAAATATGGACTCCTAAAATATTGTTTCCACTCGTCACTTTGGTGACAGGTAGAATGCTAATTACCTGGATCGCCAGTTCTTCTTCACCAAGCTCTTTAAAGACTGATCCTTCTAGGAGACATTTAAGGTGGAAGGATTTGATGTCTGTCTGCATGTCACACACTGTAAAATAAACCACACAAGTGTCAACATCCAACAATAGACCATGGACTGTCAACATAGACCATGAACCGTCAACATAACATCCTACTGTCAACACAGACCATGAACCGTCAACATAACATCCTACTGTCGCATAGACCATGGACTGTCAACATAACATCCTACTGTCACATAGACCATGGACTGTCAACATAACATCCTACTGTCACATAGACCATGGACTGTCAACATCATACAGTCACACAGACCATGGACTGTCAACATAACATCCTACTGTCACATAGACCATGGACTGTCAACATCATACAGTCACACAGACCATGGACTATCAACATAACATCATACTGTCACATAGACCACAGACCGTCAACTTAGCAACATGATGTGTAATAGACCACATACCAGTGAGGTAGGGCTGAAGTTCCTCTGGAGTACAGGTAGGCAGGGCATGCCACAGGAAGACAAGTTCCAGTGTAAGAAGTCGACAATATTCCTGTGTTAACACCATCTTCTTTATTTTCTCTGCCTACATGAAAAATAATCAGCATTTAGTTGATTTAATTAATCATGAAAAAAAACCTAAAAGATTTCTGTTTAATACAACTGTATATCTGATAAGCATTGCACTTATTTGACCTATAAACCCAAGTTGTGACCTTGACCTTATAAGTGTGTACATGCTCCCTACCTATTTCTGTTTTATCAAACAAAACTCATTAATTTTTCAGGACTTACTCTTCTGGAATGTTTAACCTCTGACCTCTTGCTATGACCTTGACATTTACTTGATGTATATTGACAAACATTGTATGTATGGAGCATATTTACATACTCAACACAATTCATTAATATGAAAGTTCAAAATTCATGGTTCCAACAAAATCAAAATTGATGGATGGACAACAGGACAGATAAACTTGTAGAAAACTTACCCTCCGTGACACGAATGCCTCTATCTGGTGGTTCTTCTTTTTCAGGAGTCCTGGTACTTTCCTCAGAGTCTGCTCTGCGGCAGGTAAATCTCCCATAGCACCTAGACAAACTGTACAGGGAGACAACTCTCTATAATATGTTAAATGTAAAGTGTAATTCTTAGTTTCATAGCAATCTTTCCCAGAGTGCAATGCCGTAACCTTGGTAACCTCTGTAAACAGCTCAGGCCATTTCAAGGTTCCTCAAAAACATATATGGGAAACAGGATATGAAAATACTTTGTTTACATAATTTTCTTCAATTTGTATTCAATGTTTACCAAATTTACCTTGTATGCACAAATGAAGTTATTTTCAGTGATTGATAAGTCATGCTTTGGTGGAAATATTTCAACAGTCACATATATACCCAAAATGTATTAGCTTTCTGTATGACCTTCCATGTGATGTGTTCGTTTACAAAATCTGAATTCAAACTATCAGGTAATTTGAACATGTTATGAAAGTGTTTTCATTTGATGTCAGACAAATCCTTTGAAGTGAACATCAAGGTGATTTAAGTATATAAAATATAATTAAATAATCTATCCACATCTTGCCATTTTATCTGAATCAAGCCTTCATTTGCCGTTGATAAGGATATTATACAACACATTTGAAAGTTAAATGTTATGAAAACATCTCTGACTGATAAGATTTTGTTGCTGAGCACTATTCCACATGGACACATTAGTTTGCGAAGTCAAAAATACCTATGATAATGAGGTCATATAATACAGTACACAAGCTGTTTACAGATGTGTAAATATAGTGACTGTAGGAACAACAGCTCTGGTAGAGACTGGTTTGATAACAACCACACCATTAAAGGGAGACAACTATCTATTACTGGTATATACATGTACATTGCATGGTAATTGTGCCTATCGCCAAACACTCCAAGGGAGACAACTTTGTATCTGAATATGACACACTAAAGGGAGATAACTCTATTATACATCTTGTGACTTTAACACCCAGTTTTTAATTTGTAGTAGTTTAATATTTAACACTGTGGAATGAATTATCTAACATTTTAAATCAAGTATGCATCAAATGTTAATGAGATCTATCAAACAGATGATTATTATTCAGAAGAAAAAGTCTTCTTGCCTTTTTATAGTCTGGTTGTGAAAATAAATCATGCAGAACAGAGGTACACATTATACCTAATCTGATTTTGCTGTAATATCACACACGATGTAGATACTCACCACCCATGAGATATGTGTAGTAACATTTGGACCACTTGGTTTCATCTTTTAACCTGTTAAGTAAAACACACATTCTCAAAGACATCCAACACTAACAGTGAGAATATGCCCAAGTGGCTTACAGGGATATTTTATCAATCATAGCTAAATATTCTCTGCAACAATGTCTAGAAATACTACGTCATTTGAACAGCAGTTTTGATTCGTATGTCCCAAGAATGCTTCATAATATATTTCGTAAGAATCTGATAAACTGAACTTAAATTATTCTTTCATACCATGAAAATGTTATCATGAAACAAAGAATGAGTTTATGTTAAAGCACATACTAAACAGTCTAAGGACAAGAGGTCCTTGACACTTACTGTAGAATATACAGGAGTACGCACACACTTACCGTTTAAAGTTGTTGAGACATTCCCTGTAGTTTAGCTTCATCAAATTGCACCAACCTTAAAAGAAAAGACAACAATATTCCTTGGTATTTCTTCTACCTGATTCACACAGAATGAATTTGAAAAATGTACAGTCCAAGGGTAAACATTTCTCTGCTTATGAGAAAAAAGCACTTAGCTATAGATATCATTAGCAAGCTGAAGGAAAACAGTCTGTTTTGGATATATAATAGAATGACTTACTATACAATAGAATGCTTTGCTACTCTTTAGTATAGACATTCTGAAGACTTTTTATGTATCAGTTTGGTTTTTAAATACAGCTGTAAAGTATATGTTTTTTTTTCACTTTTGTATCTTAATAGTAGAAAGTCTGGCTTTACCTGATCTGTGATGATAGTATAATGTCAGTAGATAATGAGAACAGACACTAACCTGATCTGTGATGATGTCAGTAGATAATGAGAACAGACACTAACCAGATCTGTGATGATAATGTCAGTAGATAATGAGAACAGACACTAACCTGATCTGTGATGATAATGTCAGTAGATAATGAGAACAGACACTAACCTGATCTGTGATGATAATGTCAGTAGATAATGAGAACAGACACTAACCTGATCTGTGATGATAATGTCTGTAGATAATGAGAACAGACAATAACCTGATCTGTGATGATAATGTCTGTAGATAATGAGAACAGACACTAACCTGATCTGTGATGATAATGTCAGTAGATAATGAGAACAGACACTAACCTGATCTGTGATGATAATGTCAGTAGATAATGAGAACAGACACTAACCTGATCTGTGATGATAATGTCAGTAGATAATGAGAACAGACACTAACCTGATCTGTGATGATAATGTCAGTAGATAATGAGAACAGACACTAACCTGATCTGTGATGATAATGTCAGTAGATAATGAGAACAGACACTAACCTGATCTGTGATGATAATGTCAGTAGATAATGAGAACAGACACTAACCTGATCTGTGATGATAATGTCAGTAGATAATGAGAACAGACACTAACCTGATCTGTGATGATAATGTCAGTAGATAATGAGAACAGACACTAACCTGATCTGTGATGATAATGTCAGTAGATAATGAGAACAGACACTAACCTGATCTGTGATGATAATGTCAGTAGATAATGAGAACAGTGATCTGTGATGATAATGATGTCAGTAGATAATGAGAACAGACACTAACCTGATCTGTGATGATAATGTCAGTAGATAATGAGAACAGACACTAACCTGATCTGTGATGATAATGTCAGTAGATAATGAGAACAGACACTAACCCGATCTGTGATGATAAAATAATGTCAGTAGATAATGAGAACAGACACTAACCTGATCTGTGATGATAACGTCAGTAGATAATGAGAACAGACACTAACCTGATCTGTGATGATAATGTCAGTAGATAATGAGAACAGACACTAACCTGATCTGTGATGATAATGTCATGAGAACACAGACACTAACCTGATCTGTGATGATAATGTCAGTAGATAATGAGAACAGACACTAACCTGATCTGTGATGATAATGTCAGTAGATAATGAGAACAGACACTAACCTGATCTGTGATGATAATGTCAGTAGATAATGAGAACAGACACTAACCTGATCTGTGATGATAATGTCAGTAGATAATGAGAACAGACACTAACCTGATCTGTGATGATAATGTCAGTAGATAATGAGAACAGACACTAACCTGATCTGTGATGATAATGTCAGTAGATAATGAGAACAGACACTAACCTGATCTGTGATGATAATATAATGTCAGTAGATAATGAGAACAGACACTAACCTGATCTGTGATGATAATGTCAGTAGATAATGAGAACAGACACTAACCTGATCTGTGATGATAATGTCAGTAGATAATGAGAACAGACACTAACCTGATCTGTGATGATAATGTCAGTAGATAATGAGAACAGACACTAACCTGATCTGTGATGATAATGTCAGTAGATAATGAGAACAGACACTAACCTGATCTGTGATGATAATGTCAGTAGATAATGAGAACAGACACTAACCTGATCTGTGATGATAATGTCAGTAGATAATGAGAACAGACACTAACCTGATCTGTGATGATAATGTCAGTAGATAATGAGAACAGACACTAACCTGATCTGTGATGATAATGTCAGTAGACCTGATCTGTGATGATAATGTCAGTAGATAATGAGAACAGACACTAACCTGATCTGTGATGATAATGTCAGTAGATAATGAGAACAGACACTAACCTGATCTGTGATGATAATGTCAGTAGATAATGAGAACAGACACTAACCTGATCTGTGATGATAATGTCTGTAGATAATGGGAACAGACACTAACCTGATCTGTGATGATGATAATGTCTAACCTGATCTGTGTCAGTAGATAATGAGAACAGACACTAACCTGATCTGTGATGATAATGTCAGTAGATAATGAGAACAGACACTAACCTGATCTGTGATGATAATGTCAGTAGATAATGAGAACAGACACTAACCTGATCTGTGATGATAATGTCAGTAGATAATGAGAACAGACACTAACCTGATCTGTGATGATAATGTCAGTAGATAATGAGAACAGACACTAACCTGATCTGTGATGATAATGTCAGTAGATAATGAGAACAGACACTAACCTGATCTGTGATGATAATGTCAGTAGATAATGAGAACAGACACTAACCTGATCTGTGATGATAATGTCAGTAGATAATGAGAACAGACACTAACCTGATCTGTGATGATAATGTCAGTAGATAATGAGAACAGACACTAACCTGATCTGTGATGATAATGTCAGTAGATAATGAGAACAGACACTAACCTGATCTGTGATGATAATGTCAGTAGATAATGAGAACAGACACTAACCTGATCTGTGATGATAATGTCAGTAGATAATGAGAACAGACACTAACCTGATCTGTGATGATAATGTCAGTAGATAATGAGAACAGACACTAACCTGATCTGTGATGATAATGTCAGTAGATAATGAGAACAGACACTAACCTGATCTGTGATGATGTCAGTAGATAATGAGAACAGACACTAACCTGATCTGTGATGATAATGTCAGTAGATAATGAGAACAGACACTAACCTGATCTGTGATGATAATGTCAGTAGATAATGAGAACAGACACTAACCTGATCTGTGATGATAATGTCAGTAGATAATGAGAACAGACACTAACCTGATCTGTGATGATAATGTCAGTAGATAATGAGAACAGACACTAACCTGATCTGTGATGATAATGTCAGTAGATAATGAGAACAGACACTAACCTGATCTGTGATGATAATGTCAGTAGATAATGAGAACAGACACTAACCTGATCTGTGATGACACTAATGATCTGTGATGATAATGTCAGTAGATAATGAGAACAGACACTAACCTGATCTGTGATGATAATGTCAGTAGATAATGAGAACAGACACTAACCTGATCTGTGATGATAATGTCAGTAGATAATGAGAACAGACACTAACCTGATCTGTGATGATAATGTCAGTAGATAATGAGAACAGACACTAACCTGATCTGTGATGATAATGTCAGTAGATAATGAGAACAGACACTAACCTGATCTGTGATGATAATGTCAGTAGATAATGAGAACAGACACTAACCTGATCTGTGATGATAATGTCAGTAGATAATGAGAACAGACACTAACCTGATCTGTGATGATAATGTCAGTAGATAATGTGAACAGACACTATCTTTAATTTGATGAGGAGTTCCTTACCTATTTCATACTGACACATAAGTTCAATTTCCCTCTGACCAGCAGCTGCTTCTAATGCCTGACAATACACTGTCATGGCATCATCTGACTTACGCTGAAATTGTTAAAAGACCACATACAAAACACTGACAAAAAGTCACAAACTGACAATAGCTACAGGTCACATAAAAACACAAGTTTTCAAGCAATTTGATTTCATACAAATCAAAAATTTGATAAATACTAGCTACTCAAATTATCTGACAACCAACCACTTTTCAAAACTAAGCAGTGTTATATCTTTTATGCTTTTTCTGAAATTTAAAGTGGTTTTTATAGGAGTGTATCTGGCTTTGGTGCCAATAGGGATAGCTGAAGAAATATACATGAATTTCCACTGAACAGGTAACATCGAGGAGGTGTCAAATGTCATGTTTTATCTATGATGTTTATTGCTTTGTGTGAACTGTAGTGCTCATTTATATCTTCAACTACATGGACACTCCAATGTAGTGATAGTGCATTGAATGTGTGTCTATGCACTTATATTTTAGCTGTACATAAATTTTGTGACATTATTTCTTTGTAATATTATTTCTTTGTGTTATTATTTCTTTGTTTTGTGTAATATTTCATCATATGTTACCTTAATCAAGCTACAAAAATAACTTTTAAATGAATTACTTAGTACACATTCACCCTCTGAAGAAGAGGAATGCTAAAACTCGTGCTACTTACTAACGATCACCAACTATTTTTTTATAAGCTTACCCTTAATTTACATATCCGTCCTCTGAAGAACAGGAACAGAGGGGAATGCTAAACATCATGCTCCTTACTGTCAATGATTAACTATATGTTATAAGCTTACCCTTAATTTACATATCCGTCCTCTGATGAACAGGAACAGAGGGGAATGCTAAACATCATGCTCCTTACTGTCAATGATTAACTATATGTTATAAGCTTACCCTTAGTTTACATATCCGTCCTCTGATGAACAGGAACAGAGGGGAATGCTAAACATCATGCTCCTTACTGTCAATGATTAACTACATTTTATAAGCTTACCCTTAGTTTACATATCCGTCCTCTGAAGAACAGGAACAGAGGGGAATGCTAAACATCATGCTCCTTACTGTCAATGATTAACTATATTTTATAAGCTTACCCTTAGTTTACATATCCATCCTCTGATGAACAGGAACAGAGGGGAATGCTAAACATCATGCTCCTTACTGTCAATGATTAACTATATTTTATAAGCTTACCCTTAGTTTACATATCCATCCTCTGATGAACAGGAACAGAGGGGAATGCTAAACATCATGCTCCTTACTGTCAATGATTAACTATATTTTATAAGCTTACCCTTAGTTTACATATCCGTCCTCTGAAGAACAGGAACAGAGGGGAATGCTAAACATCATGCTCCTTACTGTCAATGATTAACTATATTTTATAAGCTTACCCTTAGTTTACATATCCGTCCTCTGAAGAACAGGAACAGAGAGGAATGTTCAAACTCACGCTCCTTACTGTCAATAATCTGTTCTGCATCTTCTGTTCCTGAAAGAAAGTAAACGTTCAAAGTTTTGACAAAAGGTAAGTCAGAACTTGAAATGAATTTATTTTCTTTTTTTTTAATTTTCATTTTTTTTTAAATTTTCTTCTTTTTTTTTATTTTCTTTTTTATTTAACCTAAAAAAATGTTCCTGTAAAAGAAAGTAAATGTTTACGATTTTTACAACAGATTATGTCTGTATAAATTGCAACACAAAAGTAGTATGTTTTAAAAAGTTAGGAAGACATCTAAATTGTTCCTTTACTTGGAGAAAATTGCACTTTTACTTTAACAGCCTGTAAAACAGGATCAAAATAATCCTATAGATGTATCAGATGTTATAAAAGGCGTAGAGGTCAATCAAAACAGGTGAAGAGACATGGTTCATAAATTTATTTGTGGACCGGTTTCGCCCCTTATTGGGGCTTCTTCAGGACCAGATGTTATAAAAGTATAATTTTAATTTCATGACTGTTACATAAATATTTCTAGGTTTGATAAAAATGTGCAACATTATTTTCAGATTCTACCTTTACCAGTAACACAATACTTACCAGCACTACAGTCATTAGCGCCATCCAAAGCGAAAAATGGTCGTAATACTGTGTGGTACCATAGTAACCCGAGTGTTGCTAGGGGAGCTTTCATATCCTTACTGCGACTGGTATAATCCAGGGCTGCTAGTCCTGCAACACGGTCCCCTTCAAATCCGAGAAATTCTATCAATTTTAAAATTTTAGGTGGGACCATAGATATACACAACTGAAATGTTCCGAAACCAAAGTTCACTGCCCCTAACAGACGAGACAGAACCTCCTCCGGGAGTTCATTTTCATTGTCATCATAAGCCCCGTCCTGAGTTGGGTTGACACGATCTGAAGGAAGACTGTTTTTTGATCGGCTTTGTTTGAGTTTGGCTTGCTTGTCCTGCAGACTGACAACTTCCTTATGAAGTTTCTCATAGATTTTCCAGGCCTTGCGCAGGTGCCAGCCCCCCTTCATGTATCCAGGGATGTCCTGACTTGTCATTATCAGTATAGACTGGTACAGCAATGAATCTGCTACCACCACCTGTCTCTGGATACGCTCCTCCACACTCACTTGTTGGTCCGACTATCACAGAAGCAGCAAAGTCAGACATGTTAACCGACAATTTCACACATTAACAACACCTTGTTATAATATTGTGATATTTGTAAAATCCAAATCTGTATGTTAAATCTCTGCTACAATTAGCTGAAACATGTATATTTAAAACAAATTGACATTTCTGAACACTTTACCAACAATATGGTATATTAATGTGTTTTTTAATTCTGCAAATTATTTTCAAACGGTCAAAATAAATATATACTGTAGCAAAAACACGAACACACAGTTAACCCTCGTTACCTCAAATTCATATAACTTGAAAACCCCATTTTGTTCAAAGTATTTCATTTGCCAAATGTCACACTTAACATTCAAACTTACTTTAATAGAATACTAATCTTAAAGTCAGGAGGACTGGAAGAAAACTTTGAGTTATAATACTCTGATTACTCACTTCAAGTCATAATAGTCTGATAACTCACTTCGAGTCATAATGCTCTGATAACTCGCTCGAGTTATACTACTCTGATAACTCATTTTGAGTTAAATTACTCTGATAACTCGCTTTGAGTTATAATACTCTGATAACTCACTTGAGTTATAATACTCAGATAACTCGCTTCAAGTTATAATAATCAGATAACTCACCTAGAGTTATAATACTCAGATAACTCGCTTCGAGTTATAATAATCAGATAACTCACTTAGAGTTATAATACTCCGATAACTCGCTTCGAGTTATAATAATCAGATAACTCACTTAGAGTTATAATACTCCGATAACTCGCTTCGAGTTATAATAATCAGATAACTCACTTAGAGTTATAATACTAAGATAACTCGCTTCGAGTTATAATAATCAGATAACTCACTTAGAGTTATAATACTAAGATAACTCGCTTCGAGTTATAATAATCAGATAACTCACTTAGAGTTATAATACTCTGATAACTTGCTTTGAGTTATCATACTCTGATAACTCACTTGAGTTATAATACTCAGATAACTCGCTTCGAGTTATAATAATCAGATAACTCACTTAGAGTTATAATACTCAGATAACTCGCTTCGAGTTATAATAATCAGATAACTCAGAGTTATAATACTCTGATAACTTGCTTTGAGTTATCATACTCTGATAACTCACTTGAGTTATAATACTCAGATAACTCGCTTCAAGTTATAATAATCAGATAACTCACTTAGAGTTATAATACTCAGATAACTCGCTTCGAGTTATAATAATCAGATAACTCAGAGTTATAATACTCTGATAACTTGCTTTGAGTTATCATACTCTGATAACTCACTTGAGTTATAATACTCAGATAACTCGCTTCGAGTTATAATAATCAGATAACTCACTTAGAGTTATAATACTCTGATAACTTGCTTTGAGTTATCATACTCTGATAACTCACTTTGAGTTATAATACTCTGATAACTCAAAGTTTTCCTGCAATCCTCCTGACTTTAAAATCATGCGGTTTGTCTGTATATACATGTACAAGGTGTGTCTGAAATCGTGAGTTTCCTCTAAAAGAAAATATTTCCTTAGAGAATAAAATATATGTATAAGATCTGTATCAATCTCTAAAGCATCAATCATTTTGTAAACAAAGATAGTACCTCTTTCTTTTTCTTGGACCTGAATTTCTTCCTCAGAGATTTGAAGAGTCCAGAATCTATGTCACAAGCCTTCTCTGTTTCTTGTAAAACTTTAACTGCTTCATCTATTCTTTCCTCTTCAAATGACATTAATGCTTGCTGTTGAGAATGAAAACAGGAATTTAAAATAAAGTAAACAGTTCATGACCTCAGTAAAATTATTCTAAGAATAATCACACATAAAATAAGAGTTTAAATCTTAAATTTTAAATCGACCATGTAAAACATACTTTTTACCACTGACATCAGATCTAATTCAGTTCAACACTCTGTAAATAGCTAAGATATATTGAGGCAGGGTCTCCTTGTAGTAGTGATGGCTACCTCACCGAATACCATGCAGGAGGCCCACCACATGCTATCCAGAGCCATAATTATATAAGAGTAATATACCATGTCCGAAAACTCAACCACAACAGAAAAGGACAGTCTTTGTATACCCAGAAACAAAACCCAATCTGTATTGGGATCAAACAACACACCTCACATCTTTACCTGAGGTTGAATTTAGTGTGATGCTGAACTGACTGAGCTACCAAAGCCTCCTACATAACGCAATAAAGTAATAGTAATACTCACCATGAAGTAAACAAAACTGTACCCAGCATGCATCAGAGCACTTTCATTTCTGAAATTAACAATTTTAAAGAGTTGTATACAATTGATCGTGAAATAATTACAATATATAGCGACAAGGAATTAATAGATAAAATATGCCCCGTTTTGTATTCCCAGCAATAACGGATCTTAGAGGTGTTTTCATTTGATAAAATATAACATTACAATTTCGTTTCACTACACCAAGTAGGCTTGGAGATTTCAGAGGTTCTTATAAAACACACCAGTTTTAAAAATCTGCCACAAAATAGAGATTGTGTTGATAACATTGACTGTACACATTGTAAAGTATTGATCTACTGCAGTGATAAATCTACAATTTATTCCTTGTTAACTTTATAGCTAAAAACAACTTGCTCCACAATGTAAAATTAATTGAATGTAATTGTTTACAGAAATTCTGCAAGTCCATCAAAATGCCTTGAGTACATTACTCAGGACTCGTATGTAGATTTATCTCTTGATTGAAGTGAAGGTGGTTATTTTTCAGGATTTTTATTTTTCAATATATTTGGCATGAAATAAAACAGCAAAAAATTAATTTCCTGAAAAAAAAATGCAAGAATATTCCTACTGGGTTCCATAGAAAACACTTCCAATCTACTGTAAAGTTTTGGTAAAACCACAAAGTTGAAAACAAGAGCTGTTGCAGAACTGCATCATGGGAAGGGATCCAGCTAAACTTTAAGTAATCCTTACTCCAGATATAATATTATAGTAGAATTATAAAGTGATACACTAATACCTTGTCATCAATGCTTACAAAGCTAAACATTTTATAAGTTACAAAAAGTCTGAAACATGTCATAAAGCATGTTTTTCTCCAGCAAATTATCTTGTCTGACTCCAGATGAACACTACATGAACCTCAATGCAAAGCATGTGCACCAGTATCCTAATAAAATAATAAAACTGATTTACTTATGTCATTCAATACTGTACCAAGTTCAAAACATGTTAAGAAGGGAACATGATACAAAATATTGGTATCTATCTCTTTTTTTTACACTTGCTCCATTTACAAACCAATTCCAACATAAGGTTGACATCATTAGCTATCTGTCTCCTTCCAAGAAAAAACCTCAAAAAACAGTATCTATTGATAAACCCACCCATATCTCTTCATTTTCCAATAAAACATCTACTTGACCCTAGGATTCCACAATCAACCACTAAACTATAGTTAGTTAACTGCCAATTACTTCTACCTGGGATAAACCTCAGTAGAGTCATAAAGACTCCCCTCATCTACATGTATAATGCAGTAACTGTTACTTATTCTACCAATCAACAGGCTCTGGGTGACATCAAAAATTCTAATTTTAGAAAATCCTGACCCAATATACTTCCAGCCAATGTTTCCCTGGAAAATCCAGACCATTAGGAAAGACCATTGTAATAAAATAATGAAGATGTACGGAGAAGAGCTCCCAGAGGGATCTTGGTGCCCGTTATCATTTGATCTTTGACTGTACTTTTTCAGTTGGATATTTTCCCTTCTTTTAAGATCACCTGACCATAGGTCACAGTGACCTATATAACAACATTGATATATGTCCATCTCTATGTATTGTGAACACGACAACTCGAGTAAATAAGAATCGATTTTGATGAAACTTTATATGCAGTCCAAGATCTTGCATAAATTAGACAATGGGAGAGATAATTTACAGAGTACTGGCCCTTTAGATTCTAATTACTACTATAATTTATGAACACAATAACTTGAATAAATATGAACCATCTTTGTTGACACTTGGTATATTAATTACATGTGCCATTGGATCCTTCAAACCAATAATTTGAGTAAACACAAACAGATTTTTGTTAACTTCATCTGCAGGCTTTTATCAATAAGATCTTGGATGAATTTGACAATGAGGCTGACTCATTTTCATTTTAAAGAGTTATGGTCCTTTGCAGTTTCATAACTATTGTACCTTGTTCAGTTGGGATTAGTCAGGCGACCATTTAGGCCCATGGGCTTTGTATCTTTTCTTTCCTCTATGTTTGATCATAATCATAAAAATCTTTCATTGTCAAAATCCAAGATAGCCACCCACATATGAAATTTGAAAATGATCCATGCAATGTTTCTCCAGAAATAGCAATAACAAATTGTAACTGTAAAAATCCAAGATGGCAGCCTACGGCCATCTTGTTTTTCCAATCAGTCCAAAATTGGGACATGCATAACTGCAGACTAAGGCAAATCTACATTTGAGAATGCTCCACCATAAACTTCTCCAGAAGTAGTAATAATGAATCATGATGTGTTGATGGTATGTTAGGCCAACGGAAGACGAGAACATAGGTTAGATGTTCCTAGCTACCATTAACTCTTTGAGCAGGCAGGAAATTAGAACAGATCAATTCTTTCAGAAATTGTACCATAATGCATTGTTATTGACATTGTACACAAACATGTGACATGGTTTTATATTTTAAAATGTTAGCAAACATTACGAGAGCTAAAGTTTATCTACAGTTATCAGGCTCCGATTCATCAAAGCTCTTAAACATGTACGTCAATAATATCAGAATTTTCAGGGAAAAAATCCATAGTACAGTCTCGATTACTCTGCCGTGTACACTCCTTAGTTCACCAGTAATTTGATTAGTGAAGTCAGTGCCTCGAGTGGGCAATAATAAACATGTAATTTACTCTACATGAATAAAGGTACACCTTATGACAGAGTATCATCATGAATAATTAACGATGAAGTAGGAAACAAAATACATAGTATTGGTTTATTCTGATTAAGATTCACTTTGTATGACTTCTGACTTTCTATGTTTATCTGATCATAAACCAACGCCTGTAATATACCCAGCCATACCTACTAGTGCTCAGTAGAATTACAAATGCAATCAGTATTTCATTGTCATGTGTTTTAACACCAGTTTCTTTTATTTTTCCTACTCAACATTGTTTTTACAACCAAAATAACTTCTTCATTATTTCCTGATTTTTAACAAATATCCGACTTTAAATGTTTAAATAGTTCCATGATTTTAATTTAATTTTGTAATTTCATTAAGCTTTAGTATTTTGAAATTGTGCTATGTACCATTTACTCGCTGTGATAACTTTATGTTGATGCCATGCCCGTTAAATTATACATGTTTTGATGAATTTTATTTTAATATTTCTTCTGTGAAATAATTCTCTGTGTCACATTTTCTATATATTTATCGTAACAATAGCTCTTCTGAGATAATTTTACATGTTTTATTGTATATGACGAAACATGAAATTTCTTGTACCTTGTATCTTTCAACAAGCTCATTTGCACACATTGAGCCACAATGTTCATCCACAGGACTGTAAGACAGGACCAATATCAATAAGGATGTCATTTCTCTCGAAGGGAAAAAAGGAAAAATGTCACAAGCTATGTGTCCAGTGTTATTCTAGCCGATTTTTACAACAGACTATGTATAAATTGTGACACAAAAGTAGTATGTTTTAAAAAAGTTAGGAAGACATTTTGGATTGTTCCTTTATTTGGAGAAAAGAGCACTTTTACTTTAAAAGTCTGTAAAACAGGATCAAAATAATCCTATTGATGTAACAGATGTTATAAAAGTATAATTTCAATTTTATAATGAGAGGTATGTATTGATTAAAAGCTACAATTTTATCATAAAAAGGCATTTCAAATGATACAAATTGCCTTGAATAAATTAGACAATGGGAAAGATAAAATTGTAATTTGCAGAGTTATGGCTCTTTAAATTCCAGGATTTTAGCCCAATGGAGAAGATGGCAAATTGTCTGTAATTTGAATAAAATCCCTAAAGAAATGAAGCCACTAGCTCTGCTGACAAGGACTTGGCCCTACGACTCTGTCACTCAAACTTGTCTGATATTATGATCTTTTATATCATACAATGTAAGATTTTATTGAAATCCTTCCAGAAAAAGATTTCATAGAAACAGTAAAGATGACCTTGACCCCACAACCCTGAAACTCAAACTTTCCCCTAATATTACAGACATTCATAGGTCTGGGTCAGAATATAAACAACACAGGGTCAAGGGGTCAGGATATATATACCACAGGGTCAAGGGGTCAGGATATATATACCACAGGGTCAAGGAGTCAGAATATAAACAACACAGGGTCAAGGGATCTAGATATAAACAACACAGGGTCAAGGGGTCAGGATATAAACAACACAGGGTCAAGGGGTCAGAATATAAACAACAGGGTCAAGGGATCTAGATATAAACAACACAGGGTCAAGGATCAGGATATAAACAACACAGGGTCAAGGGATCTAGATATAAACAACACAGGGTCAAGGGGTCAGGATATATATACCACAGGGTCAAGGGGTCAGGATATATATACCACAGGGTCAAGGAGTCAGAATATAAACAACACAGGGTCAAGGGATCTAGATATAAACAACACAGGGTCAAGGGGTCAGGATATAAACAACACAGGGTCAAGGGGTCAGAATATAAACAACAGGGTCAAGGGATCTAGATATAAACAACACAGGGTCAAGGATCAGGATATAAACAACACAGGGTCAAGGGATCTAGATATAAACAACACAGGGTCAAGGGGTCAGGATATAAATACTACAGGGTCGAGGAGTCAGAAAATTAACGACACAGGGCCAAGGGATCTAGATATAAACAACAAAAGGTCAAGGGGTCAGGATATAAACAACACAGGGTCAAGAAGTAAGAATAATAATAACACAAATCCAAGAGGTAAGAATATAAACAACACAGGGCCAAGGGGTCAGGATATATATAACAAAAGGCCAAGAGGTTAGGTTATAAACAATATAGGGCCATGGGGTTAAGTTATAAACAAAACAGTGCTAAGGATATAAACAACACTGGGTCAATGAGTTATTAAACAAATAAAAATTAACAACACATGGCCAAGTGGTCAGGATATAATGACACAGATTAGGCTCAGGACGTCACACATTGGGGTCATGGGGGTTCAGTACATAAATATTATAAGACAATGTTAAGCTATTACG